ACAAAAGACCACGAACAACCATAATATGCACACTGAACAACGATATTAAAAGAATTCCATTATTCCTCATAAAAGACTTGAAGAACTTGGAAGACCGGCAACACTTTTCTGATTTAACTCAAAACAGGGAAGTCTGGAGAGTTCTTTATAAAGTTGTTAAAGATGAGAAATCCTACTGACTTGCAGTGTGCCTCCAAGTCGAAATCACTCCGAAGATAATGACAATGAAGAGGGCTTTTTAGTTAGGTCCCCAACTTTTCAGCACCTCATTGCACATATAACTAGTTTACTAATATTCTAAAATATGATGGCATATTTAATTAAAAAGTCTTCGATACACTTGACAGAAAAAAAAATCCAGATGGAGTATTCCGGCCATTTTTTTTAGCTGGAGCTGACCAATCCTCACTTTACAACCTCGACAGAGTTCAAAATGCGTTTACGCCTCCTTGTTGACGATGACTTATTTTCCACCTTGCAACTCCTTACCCGACAGACGCAAAGTCGCAAGATACTCGCTATTATATCGCTACTTCCATGGAACATGTTAAAAGGAGCTCCATTTTTTATTTCTTCCAACTCATACCATTACAGCTAAAATCCCCTTTGTTACATCCACAGGGTTGAATCACTTGCATTCACCCCGTATTTCATTGTTAAGAAGGAAGTTCCACTCACAGTTTCTTTTAAAAAACAACTACATTGTGTATCAAACTTCAGCGTAGATAATTTCTTCAACACTTAAAGCCTAGGATCAGTCGTTATCTATCCTCCATATCATCATAAACTTCATCCTATTTCTTCATGTCACACACCCCATTTAATAATCTTCTACTTTGAGTGACTCTTGAGACTTGTATTAGGTGGAAATTAGTAAAATAAACACCCCCCCTCAACCGAAATGCAGCACAAGCCATTTTTAATGTGGAGCATCGTACGGGTAACAGGAGTCCAGAGGCTAAATATAGTATATTCCCTTGGCATTTCCCTCTTATGGGGTGGCTGTGTTTCAGGCGCCATATAATATTTCTAACTCTCGTCCGAAGTTTGAATATCTGTGCTCCCACTCGAACGTAATGTAACACAATGTTGTATTTAAAGTTAGAGCCCACGCGTATATAGGCTACGGAGAGGGAAAAAAAATAGGTCCTCTCAGTACGTCTCCTTTTTGGAACATATCAGTCGCTAAGTAATGAAACTATCCACCTGCTGAGAGAAAGTAGAGTAAGGGCGGTCTCTTGGGACTGAGCTTACATTAATTGCAAAACTCTCAGATTGTAGCATGGCAAAATTAAATCTATCTCAGATCAGAGTTACATGTGGGTGTTCTATTGAGTATCAAAGTATCGCTCCTCGGCCCTCTCCGTAGAAATCTGATATTTGAATGCCCGGATGAACTGAGTAGTTTGAATAGCAGTAAGGCATCTTAGCAGAGACAAGATACCGTAGTGAATGCGTCATTTGCCTGATTAACTGTAGGAGCCACAGGCGCCACATTATTTTTTATATATACAGGGGTCTGCAAAAGTTAGTATACAAGTAAGTATTATACCAGTATTGTCAGTATTACAATAGTCGTTCTACAATTAACTTAATACTAGGATTCATTTAATTCATTAAAATCGTTTTTAATATTTTTATTTTCATAATTTTTATTATAACACATTTATTATAATTTTATTTTTTAATAAATTATAATAAGAAAAATGTTTTACAGGTAAAGAGGAGTGTGTGAATGACGGGGGTAAACAGTTTGAAGAATTAAGAGATTGACATGTTTATTATTGATATGTTATTATTGAAATGTTCGTATAATGAATACAATACGTTTTGTGTGCACGTTTGTTTTTCATTAATATCTATCTATCTATCTATCTATCTATCTATCTATCTATCTATCTATCTATCTATCTGTATTCTTCAGGTCGCAAATGTTCCTTAATGCAAATTTTATTAAAGATAACAGGCATTTTGTGTCGCTTAATGTTACAGATTAACTTTTCCAAATTACGAATGATCCTTCTCTGACAAGGAAACAAGGAGGACATACCCTCAAAAATTGTCCCAAATTAATTTCGGATGAAATATAGTCCAACCTTTCGATTTTATCATCATCAGAGTAGATAGGTATATATATATATATATATATATATATATATATATATATATATATATATAGAGAGAGAGAGAGAGAGAGAGAGAGGGGGGGCTGCAAAAGTTGATATACAGTAAGTATTATACCAGTATTATAACAGTGGCTCTAAGATTTATTTAATACTAGAATTCATTTAATTTATTAAAATCATTTTCAATATTTTTATTTTCATAATTTTTATTATAATATATTTAGTATCTGTCTATATTTCTGAGATGATTTATTGTAACTATTTACATTATTTACATTGTTCGGTCTGTTGTCCTCATCTTTATTCACGACATTTCGGCCGTCGTACGCTCCGGCCTTCTTCTGGTGGTATTTGTTTGAATTTTGAACTTAACCCTTTTATTTATTCCACAAGAGTAGATTGTTGTAATTCCACATGTAATGACTTTGGGTATCTCAGTTTCAGATAATCTCTCTTGGTAACTCTCCAAGATTTTGTTTTATTCATTCTGCTATGGAGAGGTATGGAACACTCAATTCTTTGTATCAAATAGTGTAAATGTTTACATTTATTATAATTTCTATTTTTTAATAAATAATAATAATACACGTTTTGCAGGTAAAGGGGAGCGAGTGAATGACAGGGGCAAATAGTTTGAATATTTGAGGGATTGATATGTTTATTATTGATGTTTGTATAACCAATGCAATACCTACTGTATACCTACTTTTGCATCCCCAGTCTAATTAATTTATCATTGTAAATAAATGCGCATGGCGTATCATATAACCTTTCTGTCATTTTAAGAAGACTTAATACCATTAGAATAGTTGGTGAGATTTGGAAACTCATTTTTCTTGCTTTCTTTTGCTCCAAACATTTGGTTGGTCAATTCTACGGTCTTCTTAAGTTGTACAACCCTCAAGTAAAACCCAAAGTTTTAAAACCCAAAGTACAATTAATTAAGACGATATATCCGTAGACATGAACAAGTGTGTGTGTGTAGGGGGGGGACTTCAACCAAAGATTGAATAAAGGGGTCGATTAGAAATTCCCAGAAGATTACTCGGATCGACAGACACCTGAAGAAGGCCGAAGATCACAACTTTCGAAACAAGAGGACACTAGTCGGACGCTATAGTGATTTTCCAAGAGTAGCTCAGATGTGCCACAAGGCTGAAAGTATGGGGTACCCAGTGAGGATCGAACTCACATTGATTTTCTAAGCGTAGCATAGATGTAGCACAAGGCCGAAAGTAGAGGGCGCCCAGTGAGGATCGAACTAACTACTCAGTCATAATTGCTCTAGCAAGACAAGCTTGCTAACAATTACACCGCCTTGAGGTGCCCGAACTATAGTGATTTTCCAAGCGTAGCTTAGATGTGGCACAAGGCCAAATGTATGGGGCACCCAGTGAGGATCGAACTCACTACTCAGTTGTAATTGTTCTAGCGAGGCAAACTTGCTAACCATTACACCACCTCGAGGTGCTCTAGTCTGACGCTATATAATTTAAATAATATCTGGCATGTAGGACTTCGATTTAATATAAGGCAGGTACGTCGTTCCGTCAAAAGAGACACTTTTTGTTAGTTGTCCCACAAGAAATTGGTTCATTATCAACTGTGTATAATATTAGCATGGTTGAACGGAATCGAGGAGGGACATCTGGGTGTATTAGTGCTCCATCCTGAGGTACACGTATGTCTACTTTGTTTATCATCCGGGCGAGTGATTGATGATTCCCCATCAAAAATCCCCCCCCCACCCGCCAAAAAAACGACACTAACGAGAGATAGTGAATGTAGCACAATCTAATATAGCGTACATCCGGTGAAGAATCAGCGCCGTCTTCCTCATATAGCGTCGCGTGACGACGTATTATATTATGGGAGATGGCGCTGTAACAACGAAACGCCGTATGTTGGGTCTGACGAAACCCGAGGACCGTCTGTATATTATTTTTCTTTGTAATTTCTTCTTGTCCTTTAGTTGTTTTATTTTTCTCTTTTATGGATGCCATGTTTTTTGGAAGCTTGCTTAGACCAAGTTAATGTCTTTTTAGGCTTCCTCCACGTGAATAAGAATTCACTTCTTAGTCAATAATAAATATATGTTACAGCGGAGGGAGCATCAAGATTTTAGAAATGCTTACATAGGGCATGTGCACCCCACCACAAAGGTTGGGAACTACTGGTCTAAATAAAATAATAATTTATGCCAAAGATGGGGAAGATTTGAAAAGGTTGAGAATGTAATGATTGGGGAAGCATCCTCTTAGGAGTCGGTTCCACAAGTGAAAGTGAATGGGAAGATTTTAGTGAGGAGAAATGACAAGAAGAGGATCTAAGAAGACGGAAGATGGCAATCTCCTGAAAGATGAAGAAAAGACTTGAAGCAACCGGAATACGTTTCTTACGAACGGATGCTGAGGATACCATGGGCCGAATATATGAGCAACGACGAAGTTTTAGAGAAAATGGAAAGAAAAAGGAAAGTTATACTTAACATTAGGAAGAGACAGTTGAAATTTCTAGGGCCCATAATGAGGAAAGAGGGCTAATCTATAAGGTTAGAACATACTGTTGAATCTAGCTAGTTCAAATGCAAAATTCAGTCTTAAACCGTGAAAAAGTTTATTGTCTCCCGGCAGAAAAATATTAGGTTGGTGCAAAAATAATGACGTAATAATGTCGTTTTTTGACGTTAAAAAATACGTTACAAAACGACATTATTACGTCATTATTTTTGCACCAACCTAATACTATTTATTATGTTTGTCCAGTGAATAGCCAAATCTTAGTGGAATAGATTGCAATCCAATCGGCTGTAACAAGAAAAGGTAAAACGTTACTTCTTCGCCGAGTCGTCTCTTCAGGGCCTGGGTGATCATAGTTCTCGTACGATCACCGGAGTCAAGCAACGTTGGTCCAGGTCAGTACCTAGATGGGTGACCACTTGGAAATACCATGTGCTGTAAGCTTAGATGTGCGGATGGTGTAATGGATGAGGGTTCAAAAGTGTTAATCGAAGAGCGGAGTTCCAATTCCCGTTGGGTTCGTTATATTCACTTATACCCTTGGGAAAGGTATAAACCCACCTCTTTTCTCTCCAGTTATGGGTTAATTAGTAAGACGTGTATCACTAAAACTAAATGCGTACAAAATACTTAGAATTCAGCATTAAATGTCCCATAGAGATTGATATCCCGCTAAACAAAAACAACCAACCAATCTGTACAAGAAATTTCAAGAGTAGATTTCTGATTATGAGTGTAAATGTTCTATTTGTTACCAGTTTCTTTAACACTTCCTCGCTACTTACTTGCTCTTTTCGAGGAATTCTTAGTGTCCTTCTGTAGTACCACATTTCTGTTGCTTCTCTCTTCATCTGTGGGGAGATTGTCTATCATTCGATGTCATACAAGAAGATTTAGTACACTATTTACATTATTCGGACTATTGTTCTCATCTTTGTTGCCATATTTATCACAACGTTTCGGCCGTTGTACGGTCCGGCCTTCTTCAGGTGGTTGGAATGTCGAACTGCACCCTTTATTTCGCTCGCTGGGGTAGACTGTTCAATAGTCCGAATAATTTAAATAGTGTACATAACACCTCATCTCAGAAATATAGACAGATACCAAGAGGATTGGTATTCAGCATTCTTTTCATCCTTTCTAACGAAATAACATTTTAAAAATCAACCTGACCTAGTAGATCTTTGGCGCATCATACTGGACCCGTCATTTAATTTCTAGAATCCGAAGTGGTTTTACCTGGCGTTTTTTTTTTTAATAATTTCACCCCAAGCAAAGGAATGAAACCACTGAGACAAAGATTGTTACTGAGTGTGATGGTATATGAGAAAAAGGAAACATTATTAAGCAGAGAAAACAATAAAAGAACAGGAATTAAGAAGACAGAAGATAACGATTGATAATGCATTTAAATTTTTGAATATCAAACTTGACTGGAAAGTAAGGAGCCGAAAGGGAGTTCCACAATTGAGAAGTGTGAAAGAAGAAACTGTTACTATCGGACTTACGTCTACAGCTAGCCATTCCAACTGTAAAATGATGTCGCCAATTTAGTACTGAAAAGTACTAAATTGGTTTCCGAGTAACACGCAACAGGTTGGACAAGGCGGCATGAAGCTAGCCGCAGTAATTAATTTCTGACCTGATCTCTTGAGAAATATGAATTAATATTTACAAGACTATCAGTGCGAAATGAAAATCAAGTATTTCAGTAGCAACATAAAGTCTATTATTCAGTTCTATTATCAAACTCTACTCTTCAGTACCCGTTTAACTATTCTATGTTCAAATATTATCGATGATGAATATACAATTGTGATCCTTGTTTTCTTCTTCTTCTTCTTCTTCTTCTTCTTCTTCTTCTTCTTCTTCTTCTTCTTCGTGGCATCTCCCTTCATGACATTGGCAATCATGGATCTTCACAATTTCCTGTCGTTTGGAGCTCTTAGTAAATTTTGTCATTTTGCTCTTTTTCCTAAACGCTGTTCGGCTATCCATTTACACAGGCTCCTTAGGTAAGTTCTGCGATGTTTTCCTCCGTCCCTCTTGTTTTCAGTATGTCCCGTGAGTGCCGAACATTCCAAGCCCTCTTTCCTCATTATGTGCCCTAGAAATTTCACCTTTCTCTTTCTTATGTTAAGTATAAGTGTCCTTTTTGTTTTCTCTAAAACTTCGTCGTTGGTCACATGGTCAGTCTATGGTATTCTCAGCACCTTTCTGTAGAACCATATTTCTGTTAGACAATCTCCACACAGATGAAGAGAGTTGAGACAACATTCACTCCTATATAAGAGGATTGATATTACGTAAAAGTTCCTATTTTTTTTTGTTTCTAACGAAATTTCCCTGTTTCTTAATACTTTGCTTAGTTTTGGAAGGCATCTTTCGTTATCCCAATGCACCTTTCGATTTTGATATTGCACTTTCCGTCCTTGGTTACAACCATAAATTCTGATGTATTTGCTTAATCAGTTCCACTCATGATATTACTTATAATGCTAAACATAAACAAGTAGTTATTACATACTGATAAAAACGTTCCCACCTATATAAAATACAATATGCATCCACTGTATGAATATATAGGAATGAAACCAAAGCCTTGTGTGTGAAATTGGGTAGATGAAACTGTTTGGAATCTGTCGATGGTTATTCTAGCATGAAGTCATAAGTCATTGTGACCGAGGATTTTGACATGCTGACCTTGTTCAAACTGTCGATCACGCCAGATTATGCGCTGTTTTCCAGAAATTGTAACTCATGTCCACTAAGATTAGTTGCAGTAAAAAACACAGGTAGGCTCTGTCGATTGAATAATCACAAATGTGCCTGAGCAGGCGTCGATAACAAGGATTGGCTAACCGTCCTAGCAGACGGATGTCCATGGAAATGGTAAGCTGGACATTATATCTGCATGCATGCATATGGATGTGTGGTTAGCAGCTAGGAACAAGAAATCGACGAGACGATTTCGAATTGCAGTCGTACTTTATCACCACTTTCGTGAAAATATAATTAGGAAAGGTATGAATCCGTCTCTTCTACCTCTCTGTTGGTTAGACAGTAGGGAAAGCCATGCACTTCAGCCTTAGTTGTCAACCAGTCTAGAAGAAGAAAACTTCATACTCATCATATATGTATACAAGGTCATTGTATGAGTGCTTCTGGTAGTAAGTTAGCTAGTTCTACCTGCCGCGATTTTTCGGCGACTAAACCATTTCCTCACACCAGACTTGTCAAAGGATGAATGAAACCTTTCATGAGAACACAAAGAGTCGTAGAAAGAGATCATTTTACAATAGATAATGTCAATAGCCATTGTAAATGTTATCATGCTGGGTGGATGTAAATGTAAAAGTAGGAAGGGGGCAACAACTGGGATAGTCGACAAGTATGAACTTGGATCGCGCAAAGAACGCGGGGAAAATAGGTCAACTGTTGCACAGTGAACGACCAATTAATAAGCAAAGTTTATTAGTTTTAAAGAACACTTTAGATGCTTTTGGACATGGAAACACTCAGGACGGGAAAGAAAGAACAGAGATAGTCTACTTAAAAGTAGTAAAATGTTCAGAAATGCACTTCTACACTCCCACTCATCTGTAAACGAAATTTAAAATTGCGGAAATTTAAGAGAATTAAAGAAACGCTTAAACGGCAATACAACAGATTTCTGGATAAATTATTTTGCAAACAGTCGCTTTTTAATCATTTCACTCAAGAAAGGCAATAAAGCCACTAAGAAAGGGATTACTGAGTGTGAGAGAATGTGAGAAAAAGAAAACATTATTAAGGGGAGGGGACAATAAAAGAACAGGGATTAAGAAAACAGAAGATAACGATTGAGATTGCGTTTAAATCTTTGAAGATCAAAGTTGACTGGAAAGCAAGAAAAGCAAGAAGTTGGAAGAGAGATCTAAAAGCGAGAAGTGCAGGAGAAGAAACTGTTAGCATAAAACTTACGGTTACATCGAGACAGTTCAACTCTAAAAGGATGAGACCTAGCCGCTAATCTAGTGCTGCTCTTAAATTCATAATGTCCAGGCACTATGTTGATATAGTTAAAAATCAAATACAAAGCTTAGAAGACGTCAGTAATTCAAAGGGGAACCTTAAGACAAGCATTAGTGACATCATCAAAAGAAAGGGCATAAGAAAAAAGACATGAAACTCTCGAACAAATTTAAGAGAAAAAATAATGCCAAGGTATGGCACAGAACAAAGGATGTCTTTTTATATACTATTGTTTACCCAAATAGCTGGCCCAAGATACCCTCGACGTAGAAGTTTACTGAATGAGGTTGTTGTACAGGTGGAAGAGGAAGGAGTAAGAAGTGCATATTATGAGAATATGTAGAATAGATAAAGGTTGACCCTAGACTAGAAGAGGTTTCGTTGTCGTCGGCATCCGTCCGTCTCGAGAGACGATGGAGTAGCGCGGTGCGCTACGAGCCTGGGTGGAATATATGTAAAACTAGGGCTGCCCAGACGTCTAGTTCCCTCTCTCGGCCTCTCTCTAGCAGAGTCCAAAGGAGAGGATAAACCAATACAGTTTGGTACCAGCGCGGCTGCAGGAGTTGCCGGAAGGTAGCACAAAGTGCCGTCCATCCGTATTCGGGGCTCCACTCCGGGTTTGAATTCAGAGTTGTCCTTCTCCTTGACCAGTTGCCATCCAAGGCTATAGAACCCACTCTGTCATGCTATTTACCCATAGCTGGAGGGAGAAGAGGATTCACACCTTTCCCAAGAGTATTAGCACGTAAGTGAATGTAATGGATTCGACTGAAATTCGAACACGGCTCTCCGATTCCTCAATTCAAGCCGCTATCCATTACTCCACCGTGCCTTGAAGAGGTTTAAGATAGTAGAAATCGGGGAACAGTTCTGGAGAAAAGCTGTTTGAGTGGAGCTTCGTTCTTACTAATGGCATATCAAGAAGAATGACGCTGATTCTATCGTATTTGGTCCATTAGTTGTGTGGATGAATGAGGATGGCTTTGATTAGCTCCTCGCGGCTGTGGAATCAGGGAGTTAACGAGACCGATAATGTCTTGTTTGTGATTTTGCTGCCCGGATGGTGAATTTCCCTTTTCTTACTGCTAGTTCCTTAATATAGACCGGGCTTAGTTGCTGCCCTTTAAATGGGTTCAATTCTAAACTACAGATTCGACTCTATGTACGTGGCATTGTGGGGTCCTAGTTATGAAGGTCTGAACTTGGAGAACTAAAGAATGTAACTCGGCTGAACATTTGTCATGAAAATAGCGATAGAGTACTAAAAGTCTAGCGATGGGGTTGTAGGGACGAAATAATTTATCTGCACATAGCCGCGTAAATTCTTTTGAACTCTATCAAAGGTAAAACTGTTCATGATGACGGTCGTCTTTGAGTATAGAATCCAGAGGTTAGAAATGAATATTTCGAAGACAGTAGGAAAGCGTT